ATTTCATCGTGTTTTACTACTTGGCTTTGATGGACATGAGCTTTTTTTTTTTTTATGATTAATATTTGCTCAACACCTACATAGGACAATATTACGCTGCCTGTATTTTTGTATCAACCTAATTGAATAGAACTATAAGTAAATATCAATATTCCATCTTGATTTGGAAGACAAGAATAGATTACCTTGGAATTTCTCCTCAAGAGATAAAATATCCCCACTTTCCTTGACAGTGACACTGGGACTCAATGAGTGCATTGATCCACGTGTTCCAACAACACCTACAGTTATTTCCACCCATCTACTCTGTCCTTCCCACAAAAGTTGTTCTTTAGTCTCATTGGTAGATTTGGATGAAACAATTATCTCGTCGGTCTCGATAAAAGGTTCAAAAATCAAGAGCTCTGGAGGTGGTTTTGGCATTTCAATCATACCGTGTGCCTATAATGCAAAAATTATAATATTCCGACTTAGCACTAAGATAAAAATAAAAAATAAAAACAAGAGATATTTAAAAACTAACTTATTTCATGCAATTTATCCCAAAACCGTTAGAAAAAAAAGAATCACGGGGAGAAACAAAGGAAAGGATAAGCATTCAACAGCAATTGATTTACATTTCGTATTACTACCCTAAAGGCACAAGCTGCCTTTCAATGCCTGATATCTGTCTATGATTTTTCTGTGGGATACTCTCCAGCACTCAAACAGGAGAAAAACGTGTCCTTATGGTTTCGGATAACATGGCGTGAAGAAAATTCATAGAGATCTGCTTAACTAGCTGTACCTTAGACAAACTATTAGAAGGAATTCTGACGAGGCAGTCCTCCAATGCTTTCACGTACACTGCAAGGTCATCAGCGCAGCTGCATGAAAAAATAATTTAAATGAAAATAAATATATAGATGTCTTTTGAATATAATTTGATAAGCAAAACAATGAGATGTTTTTCAATATTTCAAACAATCACTCAAAAGTTTAGAGAAGGCAAACAGCAGCCAACGTGTTATATCTTTTACCATAGTCTCGCAACCCCAGTTGAGCAACCATCTCTAGCTGGTTTAACACATAACGACTGACAGTGAAGCTTGCGGGTTAAGTCATGCCATACATTTAATATGGGGATTTGCAAGAGATCATCTTTCCTCCTCACATCCTTTTTAATGGTAAGTACCCCCATGTCTGAAAGCTATTCATAAAGATAATTTGTGAAACAGAATATGTACTTGTTTTACAAGTTATACAAACCTGATCTCGTTAAAAATAAATCAGTTTGTTAACGTACATGGTTTAGGGCCAATGAAGTTGCTACTTTGTCCATGCATATGTTAGAGGCAGCCGCTCCGGGACCTTCAATTTAGAAAATGAATTAAAAATTGAGCAAGAAATAGCACAATTATTTGTACTCCTATTTGACCAATAATGATTTTTGGGAAACCTGTATAGGGAACTCCTTTCGCCTCTAACAATGATTGAAGTGTGCCGTCTTCACCAATGCCTCCATGCACTATAATGTACAGAAGAAAAGCATCATAAATTCACAGTAGATTTTCATATCATGCTTTGATTTCCCAACTTAGTTATGCTATTCTTCAAATTTTCACGGCTCTATCTTGCTAGATTGACGTTATAATTGCTTGCATATACATGAGAAGAGGAGCACATACCAAGAAGAGCAATAAAAGGCCAAGTAGTAAGTTCAAATATAATTGAAAAGGCTGTTTGTTTTCTCATCATAATGGTCACAAAAAGATCAATTTGAAAAGAAATCAAGTTGCTCGGTGTTGGGACCCAGTAATGAGAAACAAAACCTGCTATAAAAACTGTTGCATCAGCTTCCTTAGCTTGCTTGATCCACTGCTCCAAAGAATATCTCACAGGTAATTCATCTTTGATATCAAATCCTGCAAACCAACGATGATTCTTTAGACCTTCTTTAAGATCAGTCATCACTAGCTCACGCAGACGAGATGTCAATGCTGCACGAGTTGGTTCCATTGCCTCAATGCATGCAGCAAGAACTTCTTCTGTTGTGTGTCTTAGCACAAGAGAGTAACTGCACAGTAAAAATTAAAAAAAAATTAGAAAAAGTCGCATAAAAGAAAAATAAGAAAGGGCTGAACAGCTGCTTAAATGTGTTGCTCCCCAGGAGATAATAAGTTGCAAAAACTTGGTGATCTCTGATATCATTTATCTTGAACATTTTCTAAACATTTTGTCTTCCGGACTTATCTTCAAGTTATCTTATGGGAATGATACATGCCAAAAATGAGAAGAAATGTTCAATATTTAAGAGACCTCTTTATTAACAGCATAATATGTTATCTGGATCCCAACAATGTTTAAATGTTTTACCTCGCATTTACGTTAAGTGTGTTGACACTCAACAAACTAGTTATCAAGAATCAAGTTAAGAGACAAAAGATATTAAATATTTTAGGCTACAGTCCTTTTAAACTTGTCATCAATTTTTTTTCAGAGATCAAAATTTCCATCGAAGAGTATTGACATGGTTGGCACTTAGTAGATATGCCTGAAAATAGTTGCAAATTTTAGAGATCAAATTTCCATCTAAGGTCATTGTCCTCAATTCTCTTGTCCCAGCAAGAGAGATAGAGATTCATAAAATCACTAGTCATAGAACTTACGGCAAGGACCAAACTGTTCTGGAGGTCTCATCAACTTGATTTTTGTCCAAATCCAGACTAGATGTTTGCTCGTTAGATGGGGCAAGTAAACATGGAGTTACTTCAAGCTGTAGCCATAAAAACCATTCTCAGACTAAAATGGGAAAATAGATGCAAACAGAGAGAAAAAAGACCCATCAATGAAAGACAATGAAACAAATCTGTTACAATGGAGGTACAAGAAATAGTTTGGTTTTGTATCTATCACAACTTCGGGAAACAGTAACTCTTGATGCAATAAGTATTTTGTAGGAACTTTCACTCAGGTTGATATAAAACCGTCAATCGTCAATTATCCATCATTGCATGATGGTAAACTCACACTCAATGTTCAGCTTCAAAACCATGAGAAATACAAAGAATATAAAATTCAAAACTAACTAAATCATATAAAGATTTTAGCACTCTGGCTTTCAATTTTGACAGAAATTGGTAACTTACCTCATCAAATACTTGCAGATTCAGCCATACATTTGTTCCACTCATGAGAGATACTTGACGTTCTGATGTGTCTCCTCCAAATATAACAAAAACTTTACGGATGCTCTCATGGCTAGAATATGCTTGACTACGTTGAGCGGAATTTGATCTTCTCAGCAAATTTCCAGACATACAGTCCAATGATCCTAGATCCGGATATCGCAAGCAAGCATGGTAAATAATGCTCCGAAGAATATTTGAGTGAGAAAAACCAACCTGTAAATGAGTATTAGAATTAATGATGTAAAGAATGTGGTTTCGGGATCCAACGCATATGAGAAATGGAAAAAGGAAAATTCCTTTGGCAAGAAAGATAAGAAGAACTAGAGGTTCTGCCATAAACCTATTAAATATCAATGTGTATTATGTGAGCTAACCAAAAGAATAATGTGAGTTTCTCATAAAGGAGATTGAGATTTTGCCACTGTTGCAGTAAAATAATAAGCAAGGCCCAACAGGCAACGGTAGACAAGGAATATTCTATTAATCTCCAACCATGATCCATGAGATAAAATAACATTATAATGCCAACAATTTTGAAGTACCTTTGATGCTTGCTGAAACAAAAAACTGGTTTGTTCCATCCCACTAATCTGTGTAATTGTGTATATAAATAAGATTAACGAAGGTATACAGTATACTACTAGTAAAATTGAAATTTTTAGCAAAACACTATTACCAAATTTATATCCGTATAAACTATTGTGCCAGATTCTGTCCTTCCAAACTTTCCCACGGAGCATGAAGATTCACGAGAGGAATTAGGCAAAAACCACCCATCAATCCGAGCAAAATCACGGAGACCAAGTCCTTTGAAGAGTAAAGATGCTCCTTTGCGGATACTTTCTATCACATCAACAGCAAAACGAGGAGGAGTATGATATGTGACCTGTTTTATAAATGCAGGCTCCTCAGATTTGAAAATGAATAGAGTTACTAGATAGGGTTTATTATAATTCAAGCTAGTGAACCCAAGATATACCAGACATGCAGTGCAAGTAAAGGTGGCTCTACACTATCACCATACCTGCTGGGTGGGAAGATATTTCCTCCGATAATTGAAAATTGCATCCTTCTCTCCCGCATCAGCCCAACCATGGAATTGGAGCTCAACCTAATTTCAAAAAAGAAAAAACATAAAACAAAACAAACACACACATAAGTTTTAAGACGCAATATATGTCAATTAGGATAAAACCAATCAAGAAAAGCAATTTTGAGATAAGAGAATATACTTCAGTTGGTAGTAGTACTACAGGATGACAAACAGAACCGGATCCCACATCAAGGACGATTGCAGTAAACTCACTGCCTCCTTCAAGAAACACTTCCACCAGGACTTTATCATCAATTTCCTATAGAAGATAAATGGTGCACAATTTATGAGATTGAGATTTTAACATTTGAGTCACAATGTCAGCTTCTATTTGAGCAATAATATTTGAGATTTAGTATTACTAGGTGATTGAGAAAAATATAATTTTCAAAGCAAAATTGTCTAGCATAAACGATTTCACAGCCTGAACATTACAAGGTATTGGCAAATATCATAGCACCTGTGAAATAATTTCTTCGGCCTTCTTAAGTGAATCAGCCACTCCATATGCAACTGTTACTCCAATGCTTGATCCTGCTCTTACTGGTTTTACCTAGATTATTATTAGAAATAAATAAATATCTTAACGTACAAACTCTATAATCCCACCGTAGACAGTTTCTATAGTAAGTGAACATTTTACTTACCACAACTTTCCCGAAGCTAGGATCTATCTGATTTCTCAAAAACCACTTTGATAGCTCAGATTCACTTACACTACCAGCCTAAAATCATTCCATGAATCAGAATATTAGAATAATAAAGGATAGACACATCATAAGGTCTAAGACTCCAAGTTAAACTAAAAAAACTAGATCCCAACACTTGTATTTGATAAAAAAAATTAACTTAATTGAAGAGTATCCACTATCCAGGTAGTAGGCAGGTACTATTACTATGAAGAAAATAAGGATGGCCCATAATTAATAAATCATCCCAGTTCAATAATATGTATGGAGTATGGACAAAATAGTCATGTTCCATATAAATTCACGATGGGATTTGATAAAAGAGATTCTGGCTAAGAAATAATTAGATAGTATGGTTGAAAAATTACCTGTATTAGAAAATTAGGCACTTTAATGAATCCAAGTTTATCGAGCTCCAAGGAGGCATTGTACTACCAATTACCAAGGAAACAACAGGTTAGCATTACTATAAGAAAATTAATCAATTATGGCAAAGTAGGCAGAAAATACCCCACTAAATGTCTCCCACACAGAACCTCCCCACAACACCATCTAAATTTAAACTACTAAACTGACTCATTTTAACTGCAAACTTCTTGGCCCTCGCACCCATACAATCAGGAGCCTGTTTTTACAGAGTACGCCTAAAACGTAACCTACTATTGCAGTATTGCTAACTAGATCCAGTTAATATCCAAGTACTCTAGACTCCGAGTCTATGCAATAAACTATTTTTATGCTTTCTTTGTCACATTTAAATAAATTATGTCCACTTTTCTGAATGTAATGCAAAAATAAGCTGTGATGCAAAATTTGGAATTTGTTGTTTGTTTCTTCCTCAAGTCAAAAGCTAAAGTCCTTTGTTTAGACCGAAACTTCAATTCCACAGGTCAATCCAAAATGACATATTCAAACGTAACGCAGAAGACAAGTAGATCTTGGAAATTCTATAACGTAGATCATCGTACCTTGTCAAAGGCATGTGAACACTCCGTTGAACCTGTTCCAACAAATGGAATGTTATGCCTTTCAAGTAGTTCCTGGAACGCATCAACAAACATTTATTTATTTATAGATGTACATGAGGAACAACAGTAAATCCACACTACAAAAACTAAAAGTTACCCCACACCTGGATCCCACCATCTTCACCAAACCGACCATGTATAACAGGGAATACTATGTCCACAGATGCAGAAAGGTGCTCAGCAAAGTCGGTCAAAGACTGGAAACCGTGGGCAAGGCTTCACAAACGGGCAGTTTATCTTCTTAAAAGTCCCCGCCAAAGCAAAAACTCATAAATTCAATTAATATAATTTAAACTTACCTTTTAAGTTTAAAATCAAAATCAGCTGGAGTGTTTGAATAGACCTATAAATGAAATAGAGCACGTAAAATGTGAAATATAAAACCAGAACAAGATATGCAAATCTTGTAAGTTACCGCAAATCTTTATGGTTTGTTCCCATTCTTGAGGATATTTAGAAGCATGAGAAGTACGAAATCAAACGAAACGATGATCAAACGATCGAGAAAGGCTGCAGGTTACAAGTACCTGAGCGGAAGATATTGCGTACGCATTCAACTCCGGATCAATGTAGTAACAGCTCACCAGCAAATCATCTCCCTAAAGTAGATGCACAATATTAAAATTAATGAATGATTGTTACAAGTCAAATACTTAAATTACTATTCTCAATTATACGCGTCCAATCACTTGTTCTGTTAAAGTTAAATAGAAACTTCTTTTTCGTTGATAAATAGAAACTTCTATTTTCGTTGATTTAATTAAAGAACTATCGGTATGAAGATGAACTATTTTTAGCTTCTGTTAGTAGTTACAACTAACAGGTTTATCTATTCTCAATAACATCTTAATCTTAGGGCGGGGAACTCCGGACCTATCCTGCATTTCCCCCTGCGTACCTGTATGTGATCGAGAACTGATCGGGCGGAGTTGAGAGAAATTCCACGCTCCGCAGAAGGACCTCCACAGATGAGCCCTACTCTCAACACTCCACGATTCTCCCTCTCCAACTCTGTCACAGCCATTTCAGCAACACCTTCCTTAGCCACCACCTTGGCAGCAGCTCGAGGGAATCGGATTTCAGGGAACCGAAGGCGCGAAGTATGATGATTCGAATCCACACTCGATCTGAGGAAGCTGGAGGAGAGTGTTAGAGCAAAGCTTGAAGCTCTCGGTTTAACGGTCTTGCTCAATACATTGCAGTTAGAACAATTTGCTATATATGCCATAGGAGGAGAAGAAGACGATAATCTGAGGCTTCTACAACAGTTAAGCGTGACATAATTCTAGCTAAAATAACGAGACGGAGGGAATAGAATAAGCGAAGTAGGTGACGCCATGATCTTGTCTTCGTTCTACAGAGAAGAAAGCTTCAGTTTCAGTGGACGGCAGTCGTCGGGTCGAGATGTACATACAAATAACATGGACAAAAGTTGCCCGTCCCAATTGACACTTGCAGTGTCGTTCCCAATTTTAGTATTTTTTCATTTAATAATTTTTTAGTTCAACCAAACTCAATAATTGTTTCTTCACGAAAAAGTAAGGACACGTTTTTGTCAAACTCATTCTTGCAAATTCAACCGGCTTTTATTTTGGTCTCTTCCAACATTTATCTTCATAATGTCACATTCCTTGTCAATTTTATTTGGGAGAAAGAGTAATATTTTATTTTAAATATAATAACGAAATAGTAAGGTTAAAACGTGACTCTTTTTAAAGAGATAATATCAATTTTAAAAATTTATTTACATAAATGTCTAAATTTTTATAATTTTAAACTTTTAAATTCCTATCATTAGGATTTTAGTTTAATTCCAAATTTATCTCTACTCATTGCATTTTCATTTATTATAGTTTTTTGTTTTTTTGAAATATAAAATAGTTATTTCCATAAATTAATGTCAAATTTTTTAATTGAGGTGACTTCATATTAATTGTCAATTCAAATCCCTTAATTCATTCATTCAAATCCTTCAAAAAAGATTTATTTTCTTTATTTACCAATATTATTAATTAAAAAATATTCAAATCTCCTGATCCCCATTTCTTCTGATTTCTGCTACATAAAACTAGAGATACAAATGATACATAAACAATAAAACCAGAGATATAATATACGAGTATATAGTTCTGATTTCTCTGGTTCTCTTGTTCTATTTCCGTAAGATATATATTATATCTCTAGTTTTATGTATTGTTTTATTTCTTCCGATTTCTCGATATTGTTCTATTTCCGTAGGATATATATTATATCTCTAATTAAATGATACATAAAACAATAGAACCAAAGATATAATATACGATATTAAAACTAGAGGTATAATATATATCATACGGAAATAGAACTAGAGAAATCAGAACTATATAATCGTATATGCGAACTAATTTAAACAGTAGAACCAGAGAGCATGAGATGAACCTCGATTCTGTCCAAAATTGAAACCTAAATATAGCATAAACTACGGTATAATGGGAATCGACCAACTAAAATGCTCATGCGACGGAGGCCGGAGATGAAATTATATGTTATCGAAGATGAAGGAATAGCGACGATGTTACCGTATGAGATGTGACGGAGCCGTCGGAGACAAAGGAACAGTGACGATGTTAACGTATGAGATGCGACGGAGGCCGGCGTTGAAATGCTCTGCAACAAATGAGAAGAAGTCGTCGGAGACAGCGACGACGTCGGAGAGATGCTTCAGAGGAGACGAAGCCCAACAGTTAGAGCGGTGAAAGAAAATCGAGGGAGAAAGAAGGAGGTTACGAAAGTTCGGGAGTTTTAGGATTTTCAGTTTTGGAAGGTTGAATTAGCATCATTTTAGAGATTTAATATAATTTAATAATAATTTACCAATTTTATATTTTATTAATGATTTAATATTTATATGGATATATTAATAATGTTGGTTATGGTACCATCTAATTTGGGAATTATTTTAGACAAAAAGTATAAATTTTTTCATCATTTTAAGTAATTAAGACTTCTAAATAGACGTACCAATTCCATTTTTTAAAAGGGTGCGACAAACATAAACACCTGCTATAAATTCTCAAAATTAAATTTCGTTACTGTTAATGTGATCCATCTGCCATGGCCGCCCAATCTCAGTTTTGCTATCTCTCACTTTCTGGCCCGTAGCATGTTGGCAAAGCACACCCCGTCCAACAAAATGGGCCTTTCTTGGGCCTATATCTGGGCTTCTAACTGCGGAGTACAGCCCAATCTCAGTTTCCCTTTCACGCATACCACCAGACTGACGAAGTCCATACCATTGGAATTGCAAAGCATCAAATTATCTGTCGGCCAATCCGGAGCCAACAACGACAGAAGACTATTCACCATATTTTTTACTTTTTGAAAAGTAAAAAGAAAAAGGCGTATTTCTTTGACTTATTAAAGGAAAAACGTTTTTCAAATATAAGGAAGAACATCTTAGAAGTTACCAGGGAATTTACGCTGGTGACGTAATTTTATGCATAAGGATAAGGTCATTAATTTTATTTTCAGATTTGTCGGGTGGTAAAAAAATATTTAATATGATTTTAAAAAGCCTACACTAGAAATAGAAGACAATGAATAATGAAATTTTAAACTAATAATAACTCCGGATTTTCCGGTTGATTAGACAAAAATTGCAAATCATGCTTGCCACTCACCTGAAAATCATTTCGCTTTTCATTAAAAAAAAAAACAATTTAAAAAGAGAGGAAAAGAAAAATCATTTCACGGTTTATTTTGTGAAAATGGTCACCAACGGTCCACGGCTAAGCAGCCAGCCAGGTGGCATTGTATCAATAATACGTTATTATTATCACTTGTGAAATTAAAACAAGCTTGACCTATAAATTGACATGAAATAAACAAAGAACCTAAAAAACTGCATTGTTGGAAATAGCCTTTCCTTTCACTTATTTATTTATTTACTGTTATTTTTAAATTTTCATGCAAACTTAGCTATTGTTTTGAAGGCGTTTAATTGGTGATTGGGAAAGAAAAAGAAAATTTAAACAAATCCTAATTCATAATTTAGAATAAAAGCCATAAAATTCTAGAACAATCAAGACCAAGGATCCAAGTATGGAACAAAATCAAAATCTATAAAGATATTAGAATTACCTGGAACTATTAGGTTGTGGTCTTCTTCAACTATGCAACTCAGACCAAATATGGACAATACTCTCTGTTTGATGAGGAACAGGAGGTTCAAGAAGCATAGTGTATTGGGACCATAACCATATATTTATAGTTAATCAAGTCACACCACTAAAATGGGAAGTCATGACCCATAATCAAGATCAATCATATGCCCATTAAATAGTCCAAATATAACTACTCTTTAATTTGTTACCCACATATGAATTAATTATTAAATTAATTCCAACTTGCCAGTAAGTTTAATATATATATATATATATATATATATAGATATATCTTCGGAGCTAAATAGAAAAATGATGTGCGCTAACCTTCCAACAGTCGAGATGACTTGACTTCAGAAAACATGGTCGTTGCCTCATCCTTCTTTTATACGTTGACGACAACATTCTCACCGGGAATGAATGAGTGATTCTTCTCTTTTATTCGATTTCATCAAGGAGCTTGACAACCAATGTGTCTCTCAAACGTATAAACCAAAATCAGAAGCAACCGGTCCTGAAGAGGATACCGATACACATACATTATCGCATGGAAGAACCTAGCTGAACCGGATCAAGGGTCCTAACCGAGTCCTACTGACCTTCTTTGGCTGGCTGGCCCCCGCCCTTGCAACGAGGGCAACCCGTACGTGCAAAGGCGTAAAACAAAATGTGAGCGCTCCTTCCCCTCGTATTCCAGTATCTCGCTTTCTTTTCSTGTTGTTGCAATGCTAACGAGGTACTAGCTTTTCTACAGAATTCGTACATGAAGTTGTAAGTAGATCGAGAGGTCGTTYCGCCCCTTGTCCCCGAATAAGGGTAATATGTTCTCATAAAAGGTTGCTCCAATCTGACCTAGCTGGCGAGTGATCCCAGTTCGCAGCAGAGAACAAGACAGGAAGCGAGGGTACCTTTCATATTCGAGACGGTAGACTTGGTAAAAGGGCCCCGACGGATTTCCAGAATTCGAGTTCGACCGCTGCAGCCCCTTTTTGGGGGATCAAGTTCCCGGCCCGAGACGTGTTTGTCGACAAAACCGCGGCCCCTCTTTCACTATCAAGAGGGGGGCGAGACGATATTGATAGAAGCTTCTTTTTCATTCTTGGAAGATGAAAGAGAGAAGATTGCGTTCAATATTGGGTTTGACTTGATAGTTTATGGAGCTATCATCTTTCCTAAGCGGTTTCGCTCGTCCCGTGAGGGAGGAAGGGTTCCAGGATACCTCGAGGCCCTTTTTCGTATATTTCATCATTAGCAACCCCCTCTTTATCGATCCTCAAAAACATATGCTTGCAATAAGTTTAATATATATATATATTAATTTTTAAAAAATAAGAAGAAGAGAAATTATGCCTTTTTATTATCCATGCTAAAAATAATTTTATGTTTACAAAACACTGTTTGATGAAAAAATAATGGAAAATACATTTATAGGAAGAGTTTTCAAAATATTGTTAGAATAATAGGCTTTCAAATTTTATTTTAGAAAATATATATGAAAATAAAAGTAAAACAATTAAAATCAATTTTAAGTTTTTTTAAAAAAAACCCATCATGAATCTATGAATTGGTCACGAAATAAGTGAAAAAGGCATAAATTTTGAGATGATGATTTGAAACTCCAGAATCATCTATTTTAAATATTAAAATTCTACAATTTTTTTTGGCAAACCATATGTTTTAAAGTTAAATTTGACGATCTGGTAAAGAAGTTGTAGTATAAATATTTAGAATAATAGAATAATGAGTAATTATTAGGAAATGCCTCCACTTGAGTTGATGGGAAAATATTGTGTAAACAAAAAGTTGAGGGAATAGTGGCGTGGGCATTAAGACAAATATCCCGCACTTATACGCTAAACCAATAAACCACCTCATTAACCACTAATTTATTAATTATTATGAGGCTAAGCTAACGATTTCCTACATTTCTTAATTAACAATCATTTCTTTTGAGAGATGCACATGACGTCAACTCTAATCCGAAATTAATTATTTATTAGCACACCATTTCAGACAAAAAATAAAATAATAATAATAAAACCTTAATTAACACAGTATTAGTGTTCGCTAATGCTTCCATTTTGCTCCTCATTGTTTGGCTTTCGTGTGGAATTCCACCACTGACACTGTCGCATCACCTGTATCCAAACACCCCACTTCTACCCATAGTTATTACTATTTATAATAATTTTAAATAGAATGGCATATAATGGTAAGATTAATAATTTACAAGTTGTCATATTTTTATGCAGAGTACAATTTCAATTATATTGAAAAAGAAACATAGTTATGGTCCATGGATAAAGAAAGTATTAAAGAATTATTACAAGCTCCAACATATTTTTATCTTAAAAACTACCCTCTCCAAATAATCATTTTTCTAATGATTTTCTTTTTATCTTTATATTTTATTAGATTAAACAACAAATGTAAGTTTCCTTTTTCTTTTAAATCTATTGATTAGTAGTTGATTTTATATAGTCGAACAATATTATCTAATTTGGCGAGTAATGGTTATTCTCGTGAGCATTCTCTATATAGAATTTTGAATTTTTTTTTACTCACTTTTTGTGACTATGTTTGAGTACTTTGTGGATGAGTTTTGACATTTATGAGAAAGAAAGGTGAAAAGGGAGGTTGTGGAATCTAAGATTGAGGAAGAATAATGTTATGGAGAACAAAAACGACCTGAAACGAGATAAGGAGTTGAAGCATGAGATCATCGATTGGGGGAGACCCGTGACGTAACGGGCCGGCACAAAGAACGACCTAACGTTGGGGCAGAGAACGAGGAAAGCGACCGACGGAGAACTAACCGGGTCGAGAGGGCTCGGTCCCGACCCCTGCCCAGCCCATGAATCTCCTGCCTACGATCTACGATCCCTCGGCCCTGCAACGTCGAATTAGGGTTTGACTACGGAGGTTCTGGAATCATTTTCTTCGCGGCTATAAGTAGTAATGAGATCCAACCCCGAAGAGGCAGGTGACTAATTCTTAGCTAATTATTTTCTCAACTCTCCCTCGCTAACTTAAGCATCGGAGTCCGTGTGACTAAGGTCACACCGGTTTAGATTGGTTTAATTTTGCAGTTATCGGTTCCTTTATCATCGAATTTGGTGTGTGCGAGAAGAAGAGCCGGAGGGTCAAAATCGACGCATCAACAAATACCATACCGCTCTGTCTCGACATCAGGACCTCCTCTTTTCTTTGACCAACGGGCTCTCAGATTGATAGAGATTAGGTTTTCCTTTATCTCCTCCCCCCTAGTTTTATATAAAGTGATTAATTTGTTTGTTGAATTTTGTGTGGTTCATTGGTTTATAACCCGTATTCTAATTTGATTTTGATAAAAATTATTCAAGTTTATGTTAGATTTGAACTCACCAATTTAAGTTTAAGTATATGGATAAAAATGAGTTTTTCATTATGGGAGGAAGTAAGAAGAATAATTTAAATTAAATTGAAAGATAGAATTAAGAGATTTTGATTATTGTTCTGCCCACTAAATTTATACTTAGTAACAATCTTAATACATTCGAGAATAATTTATAATCATTAACTCAATTTGATAATTAAATTGGATATATTAAATCAGAGATAACGTGATGTAATATTTAACTAACCTTTTCGATTAGATGCAAGTCAAAGATAACATTTATTATTTTCTTTTGGATTGAAAAGGAAAAATAAAGTATGAATGGGAAATCAAACATGAAAAAGCATCTAGATATCTAAAATGCGGACAAGCTAAGGAAGTAGGCCTTGGGAATGAAGAGATGAGTAGTCAATAGAGTTGGGTTTTGGGGATGGACTAAAAGGAAAAATAAAAAAAGGCAATTTTAGAGAAATGACAAATAATGAATAAAGTGACGTGTAAATCTGCTTGGCTAATTAAACGAAAGGCAAAGAGAAGATTCAAAATGAAAATGGTGACTAAAAAATTAATGTTGAACGAACCATATGTACCCACCGTTGCTTTGCAACATGAATTAAACATGGACCAAAGTCACGGTGCCTATGAAGCTATGAGGATGATGGATTTAATTTATTTAATAATTGTCATCATCCATCAATTCCTTCCTTCTCGAGTATATATGAAAATCTCTCTAATAAATAAACTCGTGTTTTAAATCAATTAGAGCATAGCTCAGCATTGTTCTTGAAAAAAAAAAGAAAAAAAAACTCGTATTTTCAATAATTTAACTTTTTTATATTACTCATTAGTTTTAAGTTAAACTACTATTTTGGTTTTTGTAATTTCAATCTTATAGTTCATTTTAGTCTGTGTACTTTACAAATGATCATTTTTGTTTCTATATATTTAACTTTAATTATTTTGATCTCGGTGATGATTTTAGTCACTCTTAACTAAATTTGAACACATATTTTACCCATACATAAACTCTTTATAATAGACACGGACTAATACATGCATGACCAAAATGTTGTCATGACACAAATGATATAAAATTTTCTAATCTCAATTTTTCTAATAAGATATATATTTATTCACTCTTTAAGAGTATATATCTAGAAGTGAACAAGTACAAGATTATCCAAGTTGGAGATGAAAATAATATAAATATAATTCTTTTAGGAAACAATAGAACAACAGATAATTATATATAGAGAATGTAGATAGGGTTAGGTAGTTCAAAAAGTAACAGATGGATCGAAAAATACGAATAAAAAGGAAGAAAGTGATTAGATTCAAGGATTAGGGCCCCCTTAGCTAAATCATAATTTCTATGGGGTTTCCCTCACTCTTTAAGGGCCCCCTCATCAGAGAGTTTGTGTGGGGGCCTAAATATATTATATTAATTTGGATCAACTTTTTTGTTTAATGGGTATCAGCGCATAAACATTTCATCAATTATAAATAATCTGGTTGAAATATCGAGAAAAGTAGGACACTTGGGTTCAAATTAAAACAATTACATTATAAAATTCCAACTTGTTTTTGGAGCAAAGGTAAGGGAAAAGACATGGGCTTGCTTTTAATTAAAAAATTACGTGTATCAACAGATGAAGT